AGTTTCGAGATTAGATCCCATCAAATATCTCTTTGAGAAACCAGCGCTTATGGGTAGGCTAGCCCGTTAGTTGCTTCTCCTCTCTGAATTCGATCTGAGAGATGTCACTCGCAAGTCTGTCAATAGGAGAGCGGTAGCTGAGTTCCTGGCAGATCACCCAGTAGAAGAGGATGAAAAGGTAGAATACCTATTTCCAGATGAAGCTATTCTACAAGTTGAGGAAGAGATTTAGACAATGTACTTTGACGGAGCATCTAATCAGTACAGTTATAGGATAGGGGTGTTGCTGATAGCACCAGAAAATTCCCATATACCTTTAGCCTTCAAACTCCGGTTCAAGGTATCTAACAACGAAGCAGAATACGAGGCGCGTATCACTGGTTTGGAAGCTACCCTCGAACTAGAGGCAAAAAGGTTGGACGTCATCAGGGACTCAAACCTAATTGTGTCTCAAGCAATTTTTTTTTTTTTTTTTTTTTTTGAATAAAAAAGAGAAGATAAAATAAAATAAATAAAGATAATGTTGGGGGCGGTGGTGTAGTTGTTTACGTGTAGCTTTGTCTGGTACTCATGACTTGAGCATTATACAACTCCAAATAAAATAAAGCAAAAGAGGGGGACAAAACCATGTGCATAGGTCTGCCCTCAATGTATCTCTGTGTGTGTGTGGTGCCCTGAGTGTGTCATTGTAACAGAATCTACTTTACCATAGTGCAACACATGCGGGCAAAGATAGTGATTTAGAAAGCCTGCAACAGGTACCAAGTGTGTCTGTAGCTTTCCACCAGTAAACATTACTTTCATGCCATTAGAGTACCAGAGCTCACAAGCCCATAAGAATTGCTCCCATGTGTAGAGATCTACTGGAAATATATCAGGATGATCATAGGAAATAACTCATCATAATGGGTGCGCAAATGCTCTTTAGCTTGCAATATTTCTTCTAACAAGGTTTGCACGCAATACGTGCAGCTTCCAGTTCCAGTGCCTCACTGGAGACATTCTCCTTCTCCCAGCTGACCAAATGCACACAAAAGGGAAACTCATCGACTCGAAGGTGTTGGGCGTGAAGGTGGTGGACTCGAAGAAATTTCAAGGTATGTGTAGAAAATTCTAGCGGACTAGGTTGAGGTCCGGCGGGCGGCCAAGGCGAGGTTGCGTGCAAACCTTGTTAGAAGAAATATTGCAAGCTAAAGAGCATTTGCGCACCCATTATGATGAGTTATTTCCTATGATCATCCTGATATATTTCCAGTAGATCTCTACACATGGGAGCAATTCTTATGGGCTTGTGAGCTCTGGTAATCTAATGGCATGAAAGTAATGTTTACTGGTGGAAAGCTACAGACACACTTGGTACCTGTTGCAGGCTTTCTAAATCACTATCTTTGCCCGCATGTGTTGCACTGTAAAGAAGATTCTGTTACAATGACACACTCAGGGCACCACACACACACAGAGATACATTGAGGGCAGACCTATGCACATGGTTTTGTCCCCCTCTTTTGCTTTATTTTATTGTCCCCCTCTTTTGCTTTATTTTATTTGGAGTTGTATAATGCTCAAGTCATGAGTACCAGACAAAGCTACACGTAAACAACTACACCACCGCCCCCAACATTATCTTTATTTATTTTATTTTATCTTCTCTTTTTTATTCAAAAAAAAAAAAAAAAAAAAAAAGACACAACCACGTTATTTCTCACTTTTCTTTTATTTTAATATATATTTATATTTTTTTTATTATAATATATTTTTCCTATCTCTCTGTTTATTTTATTTTATTTTCTTTTTCCATCAATATTTCCTTATTCTACAACTCGTTAGTGAGCATCCCCAAATATTTTTATCTATTTTCTTTATCCGTTGTTTTATTTTATTTTATTTTTATTCTTAAACAAAACAACAACACCAAATAACACCACAAACATTCCACACACTTGTCATTTACCAATGGCCTCTCAT